ACTGCATAGACCTGGCTCAGTTTCTTCTCTGTCTGGTGCTTTGCTGGCAAGCTTCCTAACATTGAGTGAAGCTAGGGGAGAAGGGGTTTCTGTTTGGTCATTATTTCCACTTCTGAAACATATTATCAGTTTATGAGCAAGATGTCTGCATGGTTGGGCTTTCCACTGGAAGAGGGACATTTTAAAGCCAGCATTTTGGACTGGTAGTCGAAGGCTACCAACTCATCCTGCAGCCACTACTCCTGGCATATCCTGTACAATGCCTGGCTCTCAAAACGTAAGTACTCACCCAGAGGAGCCTGGGAGAGCAGCTGCAGCAGTGGCTGCAGAAGCAGCTCCTCATCAGCCTCTTGAAGATCTTCCCCCAATTTTATGACCTCACCATTGGTCCATGCACAATTAGCATAACAACACTCTGCATCTGACGTCAAAGAAGCCCTACCATCTCAGCCTGGTATTGCTCTGCTCTCAACTAATTGTGGGGTGGGGATCCTGAGAGAACTTCGCAGCCTCTTTGAGACTTGCAATGCTTCAAAAAATAAGTCCCATACCGGACACATTTGTAATACTAGAAACAAAATTGGTAGGTCTCTAAATTTAAGTCTAGAACGCTACTGTGTTTAATTTTACTAACTTTTATAAATTAAATAAAGTGATTATAAATTTCTTATTGAGTGACAGCTATTGTAATTCAGAGGTTCAGTAAGTAAATTGTGGCAGCATAATTGAAAGTTCATCTAGAAAAAAATCAACCTCATGGTTCTCTACCTCATACCATACATAAAAACATCTTTAATCCATCTGGAATTTTAGTGTAAAAATTAATTACATCTGGATTTTAAGTGCAAAAATGTATAAAAATATTTTATCATGTTGATATAGGGGATACATTCCAAAACAAGCCATAATTTTCAGATACTATAAGGAAAATCCAGACATATGACTACATAAAATTTAAAATTTTAATGAAAAAAAGATAACAATTCTCAAAAGACAAATAATAGATTGTGAAAAAATGCTTCTAAACAAAAAAGCCAACATCTAAAAGAAAAACGAAGAGGCTATAAATTAATATGAAAAACAAACCAAAAGGATAATGACTAAAGGATTTTAGTGACTAGGCAAGTCACATGGCCAACAAATATAAGATAGTCAACCCACTGTAGTCTGGGAAATGCAAATTAAAGGAACTGATTATAATTTATTCATTCAGATTATCAAAGAATATGAGGACAGTAATATCTGATGCTGGTGATGATAATGGGCAAGTGTTACTTTCAAGCTTATAGGAATATGACCTGGTCTAATGTTTTTTGGAACAGTTATCTGGCAACATCTATTAAAATTAAAACTACATACTCCCTTAGACTATAACTTCTGACCCAGCAATCCTGTTTTAGAAGGTTTACTTTTCAGAAAGAGAAGCATGCTTATGCATGACTATATAAACGGGATATTTAGTTCAGCATTGTTCATAGTGTAAAGACTGGAATCAAACTGAATCAATATGATATAGCTATTCTAAGGAATGTTGTGCAGCCTTTTAAAAAAGAATGAACTAATCTATATCCACCTAAAGACCTAGACAGATGTTCATGATACATTATGAAAAATCAATTGCCAAATAACATGTATAAATGATCAAGGTTTTGTAAAAACAAGCCCCTCAAAGCCTGTACATGTCCATATGTGGATAAGCATAAAGAAGACTGAAAAATCCACAAGTTTTAATTTCTCAATAGTTGGGGTGGGGAGGAAAGAAACTTACTATCTCTACACATTATCTTTAAATCATATGTAAAAGCTTTGTAATTAAAAAATGAAATTATAAAATTCATAAATATAATATCCATGTATGTACGACTAGTAACATGATTTTTCGACTGACAAATTGACCTCAACTATTGACTTCTACACAATTATGTACAAATTAATAAATTGACAGCGACAATTAGAGACAATATTTATAACACAAAATGTTAACATCCAGAATATATGAAGAACTAAAAAGAAAAAGAAACATGAATTTTCATAAGTGACTACACTAAAAACCACTGAATTGCACTTTGAAAGGTGAATTGTATCTTAATAATTTCTTAAATTCCTATAATGAAAACATTTTTTTTAATGGGCCAAAAGTTTGAGGAGCTTATTTAAGGAAGAAAACCAAGTTTTGTTCTCCAGGAAAACCAGTTTTGTGCTGATAAATATCTAGAGGACGGATCACTGATGGTGGAAACCAGAACTGCTGAAGCAATGTCCCTGGGGAAGTAAGAAAAACTAGTAAGAGATTTGCCTTAACTGAGAGCATGGACAATTCATCTGTAGTAAAAGAGGGGAGAGCAGAGCATATGAACAGTGATGCTTGTAGATACGGTAGTGGAAGCTTGTGGAAATTCTTCTCAGGTCGTCTGTTATCTTAGTGAAAAAGAAGAAATAGATCATAGATTGATGATGGGGGAGGTGGTATTGATTGGAGGTCTGAACACAATGAAGATGAAGAAACTGCCTAGGGAGAGTGAATGGACTATTGAAATGTAAGATTTCTGGGCAGCATTAAGACTAATTGAGTTTATGCTCACAAATTTCAAGTGAGACTGGTTATCATGGCTGCATTTCTTTCACTAACCACAATTATATGGGTGCAGTGCAAGCAATCAGATTTCATAAGGATTTGCGTTTTGCCAAGTGACTGCAACAAAGAAAGGAGCAATGGAGTTGAGAATGTATGCAAGGGAATGATGATAAATAATAATGTACTATAAAATTTAGATAAGGAGAGCACTGAGGTCATGAAGGAAGAGGTACTGTGAAAAGGCACTAGGATTTAATGGATTGTAGGTCCTGGTAAGGTGTAATGATTGCTGGAGTTAAGGGAGTAAGCTAGAAAAGGACAGGAGGTAGGAGTGAGAGACCAAGGGTGCTTGAAATTGAGATCAAGGAAGACTTTTAGTTATTGGTAATGACAAAGAAGTAGCTAAGGTTGATTAGATATTAAGATCATTGTAAATGAGAGCCTGTGGGAGAGAGCCAGTGTTCAGTTAGAGTGGTGGCTCTCAAATTTTAGTGTGTATTAAAATCATTTGGAGGGCTTGTTCAACTATAGACTGCTGGACTCCACACTCAAAAGTTTCTGATTTAGTAAGTCTGAGAATTTGCATTTCTAAAACATTCCCACATGATGCTGATGCAGCTGGTCCAGGGACCACATTTCCAGAACTAAAGAACAAAAAGAGGAAAGAAACAAGCAAAAAGGTTGATTATACAGGGAATGTTGTTGATGACTGATTATGAATCTCAGAAAACATAATGAAAAAGTCTTAGAAGATAGGAGAGATGGGGACAGAGAAGAGGTCCTCATGAAACGAGGTTTTAGTTGAAGCTAATAAGGTACATGAAATATTCATGCACACAGTTATCAAAAATAAACTACATGGAAGAAGTTAAGAAAAGCCAATTATTTACTAAAATAGATAGATCATAATATAGGAAGGATCGACTATAAACTGATATTTTTCCCTGCTAAACTGACTTCAACCAACTTACCAAAAGTTTGTTGAGCATCTACAATGTGCCAGGCCCAGTACAGACTGAACAAAGGTTAAAGGTCAAGTCGCTTAAACTAAGCACTTATAACTGTATCATAGCTAAGGGCTGCTCCAAATGTTTATAGGAAAAACCCCAAGAAAGCCATTATGTTAAAGAGCTGGACTTTCTATTTTTAGATGTAGACAAAGACCACTGATTGATCAGTTTTATTAAAGATAGTTAAATAGAATATGTGTATTTGACAGAAGTAAATTCATATTTACTGTTATCATTCTTTCTCTTCAAAATGGAAAATTTCTCATGGATCTTAAAAGTATTACATAATCAATATTAAAAAGAACCAGAAAATACTGAAAAGAATAAAGAAAACGAAAAAAATACTTGTAATCCTATCACCTAGAAGTAACCACTATTTCAGATGTATCTTTCTATGATTACATATTATATATATTTATAATCTAATGTGTGTGTACATAGATACCTCATCTATCTATGATCTTTTACAAAAAACAACATAATGCATACTGTTTAATATATACATACAAATTTCTTGGTTAAAAATAGGTATAATTGAATATGTATGACTATCACTTTAATTCTGGCTGGTTAAGTTTCATGAAGGTATCACCATCATTTTAGTTACTAATGTTTTTTAAATGGCTGATAGTTTAACAATGGTTTTAAAAAATCATACAGATTATAAAAATAAATGAAGTCAAGGAAACTTTTTTCTTTCTCTCTATTATAGATACATACTTTGGATTTTTACTTTAGATGGCATCAGAATAGTGCCTGAATCATGTTCCACTTCAAGAGTCCAAAAAGTTAAAATACATGAAGCTGATACCCATAATTTATATATAATAGCAACTTGAGAATGATTAAACAAAAATATTTTATAGATTTAAATTTAAACAAGACTTACTATAATTAAGTAAAGATTTAAACATTCATTGCTATCACATATACATAAGAAATGCTGTATAATTTCCTATAGAAACTTACATACATACTATTTACTGTTAGTTATTTTGCCTCAAATTCAACATCTTTCAAACCATAAGTAATATTTTCTTTAAACTAAATTTCAATATAAATTTTGGATATAAAACCAGCAGAAAATCTAATGTAACCTGACACTCAAAGAAACCAAGTATTATTTGTTAGAGGTTCTAAATATTTTTGAAGGCAGACAAATATTTGTTTAAAAATTAAAAACTCAACAGGAACTTTTTTTTTGTACATTCTTTATATATTCTTCATTTTTAAACAAGCAGGGACTATCTCTTTCGGATTTTCATTGCTAAGACAGGGCCTATAATACACAGCAGACAATTATTTATAAAACAAATAACATCTGGGAACTTATTAAATTTTTAGGGATCCAATATTATAAAATTTCCTGTAAATCATGTCATTAAAAAATGAACATATACCTGTTAAGAAATGTAAAGTGAAAATTGTTTAATCATTTTAGAGCAGTCAAAATACAGCATAAGATTCGTATCTTGGTGTCTGAATGCAATCATTTTGCCATATGCATTTTAATCTTTTATATTATTCATTTTAAGTTGGTTAATTTAAAAACAGTTTTAATCAAAGTTGTTTTCAAACATTGTCATAATGTCGCTTTGCAGAGTCATATCAATGGTACCAGCCATCTGTAGGAAAGAAAATTTAAATATTACTTTAAAAAGTATGCCTTTATTACATGTATATAAACATGATTATACAACATTTGGAACAGATCATATACAATATGAATGCAACTTATTTAACATAACAAGATTGTCTATAATATCTTATTTCTGTGCATATGCTGATTTTTGTTAAAATATTGTTCCTGTGATAAATAAAAATTAAAACTTAAAAGAACTACGAACGGGTTTAACTTTTCTTTCCAAGTGAGATGAAACTCTCAGTGTTAACAGTGTTAATAAGAACATGAACTGGAGTACATTGTTTCATATATCTCTGTAACCAACATAATGTTAGACACATAAAATTATTTTCTTAATAAACCAGTATCTTACCTGTGTGAGAGAACTATAACATGTAATGTTAAAGCTATGGGCTTTCCTTGATTCTGCCACTTACTGTGTAACTTAAGGTAAATTATTTAACCAAGTTTATTTTATATGTAGATATTTATGAACATCAAACCAGATTGCATGTATAACATTCTGCAAAATGATGTTTATTAAATGTTAAGAAGCCATTAAAAATAAGCTAAAGTATATTATGCTAAGTGAAATAAGTCAGACAGAGAAAGACAAATATATGATTTCACTTATATGAAATCTAAAAAGCAAAATGAACAAATAAAACAGAAACAAACTCAGAAAACATTTTGATGGTCACAAGATGGGAGGGAGGTTGGGAGATGGGTGAAAGGGGGAAGGGATTAAGAAGTACAAATTGGTAGTTACAAAATAGTCATGGGGATGTAAAGTATAGCATAGGGAACATAGTCAATAATATTGTAATAACTATGAATGGTGTCAGATGGGTACTAGATTTTATCGGATGATCATAAGTTATATAAATGTCTGCTATCTTGACTATAATTTGCACTTGTGGAACTACTGATATGGCACAGGTTATTCTCTACACCAATTAACCTTATATACATGATTTAAATACTAATGTCTGCAGCTGATACCATAACCTGGATATTGCTTTCTCAGTGGTCCTAATATACACTTCAACCATTCAAATTTAAGATTAAAAAAAACTTGATCAAAAGAACTGGCATGAGGTAAACTCTTGGGAGCTTTGCTAGGTTTCAAGTTATTGCAGCTTTTTAGAGTATGGATCTGTCAAGTAGTAACAACGTAAGAGTTCAGGCCGTCAAAATGGTAGCTATCAAGCTGCTAGATGTGGCGTTACTAGTCAACTTTCAGTGGGTTCCAGGTCTAGTCAAGTTTCTGTTAAGTGCTTAGGATATTAAAAATTATACCAGGTTACCTAGTTAGGTTATTAGGTGGCAAGTAGGTTGCTGAGAAATCACTTATGGGTGACTGAAGCCAAGCCCTTGTGAATACCAACAGGTAAATTCCTAGGTCATTACAGAAAGACTTCTAGTAAAGTACTAACGAAACTTTAATAAAGGGTTCCTAAAAACCATTATAAAAAAGAAAAAGTAAAAATTTGCTGTTTAAATTCATTAAAATTAAGTAAAATTTATTAGCCACATTTCAAGTGCTCTGTAGCCATATGTGACTAGTTGCTACTATATTATGTAGATAAGGAACATTTCTATCATTGTAGAAGGTTCTATAAGGCTCTGCCATATGTTACAACTCCACTAATTACAAGTTGTTTCTACCTTCGTATTATAAAATAAGCTGACAAAACGTTTGTACATTATTTCCTAGGAAATTCATTTGTATTATAATCAATACTACAGCCAAAGCCAATGGCTTTTCTTCTTCACAAAGTAGTGTTCCTACATGTCCTAGGAATTCACGTCTTTCTCAGAATTACAAAAATACCTGGCACCCAACAAGGTTATATTCACAGCATCTGGTGTCAATGAAGCAAGAAAGCAGAAAAATATGATCCATAAAGAGGAGACTAATTAATCAATTGAAACCAATCTGAAACTAAAATAGATGTCAGAATTAGCAGAGAAGCCCATTAAAACAATCTTGATAACTGTATTCCATTTGTTCAAAAGTTTAATAGAGATAACAAAAAATATTAAAAAGATCCAAATTAAGCTCTGGAAATGACAACTACAATGTCTGAAATGAAAAAAATGCACTGGATAGACTCTATAGCAGACACTGAAGAAAAGATTAATGAATTTATCCAAAATGAATGGCAGAGGGAAAAAAGAATTTAAAAATTAAAAGAGCAGCACTGAGCTGTGGGACAACTTCAAGTGGCCTAATACACAAGTAACTGGAGTCAATAAAAGGAGAAAAAGAAAAACAAAAAAATAAAAGAAATAATTCCCCCAATTTTTCCAAGCTTGATGAAAACTATAAACATACATCTCCAGTATGATTAACGAAGGACAAGAAACACGAAGAAAACAATTGCTGAAACCAATGAAAAATAAAACTGTTAAAAGTGGCCAAAGGAAAGTCATATTTTATACAGAGAAACAAAGACATCAAATTTCTCATGGGAAACAAAGCAAGAAACACAGTGAAGGGATATCTTTAAAGTATTGAAAAAAAATTAACAATGTAGAATCTTATATCCAGCAAAAACATATTTTATAAAATGAAGGTAAGTTGAAAACACGTCTACACAAAACACTGCACACCAATGTTCAAAGCAACTTTATTATACTTGATTTAAGCAACCAAGCTTATAACATCTTGGAAGCAATCAAGACAGCTATTAATACGTGAGTGGACAGACTGGAGTACATCCATACAGTGGATTCTTTTCACAAAAAGGAAATGAACTATCAAGCGACAGAAAGACACAGAGGAACCTTAAATGCAAATTACTAAGTGAAAGAAGCCTATCTGAAAAGGCTATATATTATATGATTCCAATTATATGACATTCTGGAAAGGCGAAACTATGGAGATAGTAAAAAGATCAGTGGTTGGCAGGGGTTCAGGAGAGCAAGTGAAGAAGCATAGGGGACTTTTAGGAAAGGGAAATTATTCTGATGGTGCTATAATGGTTGATGTATGCCCTTATATCATTAGACATTTGTCAAAACTCATAAAAAGTATAACACAAAGAATGGACCCTAATGTAAATTATGGACTTTGCCTCATAAACTATGGTTGACAACGTTGTGTCAATGTTAGTTCACAGATTTCATAACTAATGTGAGATGTCAACGGTGGGGGAGGTTGTATGTTGATGGAGGGGAGGAGAGGAATATGTGGGAACTCTTTGTATTTTCAATTCAATTTTGCTCTGAATATAAAACTTAAAAAAAAGTAAAGTCTTTTAATTAAAAAAAGGCCAAATAATGATATTCTCAGATATACAAAAATTGAAAGAATTCATCACCAGCTGACTCATACTACAAGAAATGTTAAAAGAAAGTTCTTAAGAGAAAAGGAAAATTATACCGTTTGGAAATCTGTATCTAAATAAATGAATGAATAGCACTGGAAATGGTAACTATATAGGTAAATTTCTTATCATTAAAAGTTTTAGAGATAATTTGACTGCTTAAATAATAGCATAAAGTCTAGGAGGTCAGAAACAGAAGTACACCATTGGAAAGCTATTTACTAAACATGAAGTTGTATAACATAACTCAAAGGAAGATTGTGATAAGCTAAAGTATGTACTATAAACCTAAAGCAACCACTAAAATAACAAAACAGTTACTAATAATAAACCAATGAAGGAAATAAAATGGAATCATAAAAAATACTTAATCTAAAAGAATGCAGAAAATAGATAACAAGAACAGATGAGAAAAGAAATGTCAAGATGAAGGATTCAAACTCAAGATTTTAATAATCATTTTTAATTTAATTGTGTAAACACTCCTATAAAAGGCAGATTGCTTTTTCTTTTAAAAAAGCAAGACCTCACTACATGTTGCCTGCAAGAAACTCACTTTAAATATAAAAACATGGGTTAAAAGTAAAAGGATGAAAAAAATTTTATGCTATGCCAACACTAGCGATAAAAGGTGAAGTGGTTATATTTCAAGGTAAATAATATTACCAAGAATAAAGAAGATCATTTTATAATGAAAAGAGATCAATTAATCAAGAGGACAATCCTAAATGTTTAGATACCTAATAACAGAGCTTCAAAATACATGACATAAAATAGATGGAATTTCAAGGATAAAAAAACAGGTTTACAATTATATAATCATAGATGCCAATACTCCTCTCTCAGTATTTGACAGAACAAGCAGGCAGAAAATCAGCAAGAATATAGTAGACTTGAACATCACTATCAACCCACTTGGCCTGTTTAATACTCTACCCATTGGCAGCAGAATATACATTCTTCTCTAGTGTACACAGAATATTTACCAAGGTAGACCATAATCTGGGTCATAAAACATGTCTTAATGAATTTTTAAAAATTCAAGACAGACATTGTATGTTGTCTGACCACAACAGAATTCAATTAGAAATCACTAGCCAGAAAATACCCAAATTATTGGAAACCATTTAGTTAAATAACATACTTCTAAATAATCCATGGATAAAAGAAGGAAACAATTCTAGTTTTTAAAACATTTTTTGCATATTAGGACTCCTAAACACAAGTCAATTTATTTTTCTTTCCAGTCTTATTAAAATATAATCAACATAATGCAAGTCGACTTCTTCAGCTAGTGTACAACTAAAGAAATACTAACCTGGGATAGATGGCATATCTTTTAACCACAATTCATAGGTGGTTTATAAATTTTTCAAGAGTAATAACAGTAAGTGATAAATCATTTTACTTCTGTGCCAGGCATTTTCCTATGTGCTTAATACAAATAAATTCATTTCATCTTCACAATAGGCGTTATTATTCCCACTTTATAGATAACGAAATTGAGGCACAGAGAGGTCTTTTGACTATGAAAATTTTATTTTAGGCCCTGATTTTAGAACCTGATCCTCACTAAAGAGGTAACTCCACTGTCACTGAAAAACTACCTCAAATACATCTTTGAACATGGGAAGACACTGCTTTGTTAAACCTTTCCTTGTTAGATTGAGTAAACTAAAATTAACTTACTGCTTCTCTCCTCCTCCGCTCTTGCTCTTTCTCCCTTGCTAAATTACGGTCTTTGAGAAGCCAGAGTTTACACTTGTCTTGAGCTTCCAATGACTGTTGATGTTCTTTCTGCTCCTCTCCAAGGCACTTGTTTTGCATCTTATTTGAAGAAGATTCTAGAGTGAAGCCAGAGTCCCTGAAAGAAACAATAGAGCTCAAAATAGATTTCAAGTTCCTTAAAAGTTATTACAAAGATGTCATTAAATGACATCTATAAAGCAGTGTTCTATATACTCCTTTTCATATGTTATAACATTATTTATAAGCTGTATTTTTTATGTCAAATTTTACATAGGGAAATCTACACTAAAAAGAAGGTTTTGGAAAACTTTGACCAATGTACGCCATTATCTTCTTATACACATGGAAACAACATTAAGACATTTCTAGAAAATCATGATATCTTTATAATTTAATGATATTAGTATCTTTACTAGCCTAATCAATAACTTATTTCCTCTTCAAAGCAGACTATCAATTTAGAAATTTAGCATATTTTAAATACATGTCTAGATCTCCCAAAGGCCCCCTTTAATCCAGTAAATTATAGACCTCTGATTTTCTTGAAATACTTTTGGTTCCTTTGTATTCTGTTCCAGATGTTTCCGTATTAGTTCTTGTGTTCGAGCTTTAACTTCCTTTTCTATTGCTGCTTTTCTAAATTGGTTGAAGAGCTCATCTGAGGATTTCAATACACCTGAAGTTTTGACTGGTTTGCCTAAACTTTTCCAAGAGTCTGCATTCTTGATCTTTATATCCTAAAACAAATATTTGATTCAGTCTATGTCTACAAATGTCAACTAAATTTGGAAAGAAAACAATATTTTTTGGTATAGTAATAGATCAAATTAAAACTCCAAAAACTTAATGTAATTTTACTAAACTTACAAAGATTACTAAAGTCAGAAAAATATAAAAATATAAAAAATAGATAAGCTAAATTTAATTATCTAAGACCAAATTAAAATAACATGCTTGACAATTACATCAATTTAATGTAATACAGATATTAAGGGTATGACACCTGCAAAGAATATAAAAATAAACTAGTCACTGTAATGAAGATATTTATGATCCTATAGGCAAAATAAAGCAAATATACAAATGATTATAAGAGGCAAAGTAAGATGGTGCCATAAGAATAACACAGTATATGCTGAGAACCCTCTGACATAGCTATTTTTCCTTTCTTTGGTATGAAGAATAAATTAGCTGAATGTGACAACTCTTCTTAAATAAGATATACCACAGTCTAGATCAGCACTGTCCAACAGAAATATATGTAGTTTAAAATCTTCCAGTACCACATTAAAAAGTTTTTTTAGAAGTAAAATGTTGATATTTTATTTTAACCAAATATACCAAAAACAATATTAACAGGCAATCAATATAAAAGAGTGAACATAATTTTATATTTTTTCATAATAAATTTTCAAAATTGGTGTTCATTTACAATACATCTTGACTGAAATACTAAATTGATTTGTAATCAGATTTCATAAAATTCAATTGAAAAAGTAGATATGCATGATCAAGCTGTTTCAAACATACTTAAGTTTCCTAATAACTGGGCATCAATTTTTAAATTTAAATTCATTAAAAACAAGTTTCGAAACTTAGTTCCTCAGTTGCACTACCCATATTGCAAGGGCTCAATAACCATATGTGGCTAGTGGCTACTGTGTTGGACATTGGGCATTAAGACTTGATGGCCCTTTTTTGAATGCCACATTCTTCAGGATAGATCATACATTACACCAAAAGAGAAGTTATAATAAATTTAAGACTGAAATTATATCAAGTAGCTTTCCTGATCACCATGGTATGAAAATAGAAATAAATTACAAGAAAATTGGAAAATTCACAAATATGTGGAGATTAAACAACATGCTACTAGACAGCCAATGGGTCAAAGAAGAAAAAAGAGAAATAAAGTACCTTTGGGACAAATGAAATGGAAATACAATATATCAAAATGTATGAGATGTGGCGAAAGCAATTTTAAGATGGATATTCACAGTGATAAATGCCTACACATCAAGAAACTAGAAACTCAAATTTACACCTGAAGGAACTAGAAAAAGAAAAACAAAGCCCAAAGTTAGAAGGAAGGAAATAACAGATCAGAGCAGAAAGAAATGAAATCAAGACTGAAAGGAAAATAGAAAAAAATCAATAAATTGAAGCTGGTTTTTTGAAAAGATAAGTAAAATAGACAAACCTTTAGCTAGACTCTCCAGAAAAAAGGACAGAACTCAAAAACAGAAATGAGAGATGTTACGACTGATACTACAGAAATACAAAGGCTCATAAGAGACTAATATGAACAATTATACACCAAAAAGCTGGACGCCCTAGAAGAAATGGATAATTCCTAGAAATGTACGCCTTACCAAGACTGAAGCATGAAGAAATAGAAAATTTGTACAGACTGATCACTAGTGAGGACACTGAGTCAGTAATCAAAACCCTCCCAACAAGCAGAAGTCCAGGACCAGGTGGCTTCACTGGTGAATTCTACTAGACATTTAAAAGAATTAACACCAATCCTTCTCAAACTTTTCCAAAAAGTAGAAGAGGACAAAATATTTCCAAACTCATTTTATAAAGCCAGCTATTATCCTGATACCAAAATGAGATAGAGACACCACAAGAAGAGAAAATTATAGGTCAATATGCCTGATGAACACAGGTGCAAAAATTCTCAACAAAATATTAGCAAGTCAAATTCAACAATACATTAAAAGCATTATACACTATGATCAAGTTGGATTTATCCCAGTGATGTTGCAAGGATGGTTTAACATTCACAAATCAGTCTATGTTATATACCACATTAACAAAATAAAGGATAAAAATCATATCATCTCAATATAGATGCAGAAAAAGCATTTGACCAAATTCAATAGCCATAGATATGATTAAAAGTCTCAGCAAAGTGGGTATAGAGAGAATGTATCTAGACATAAGGAAGGCCATAAATGACAAACCCACAGCTAACATCACTCAAAAGTGAAAAGCTGAAAGCTTTTCCTTTAAGATCAAGAACAAGACAAGGATGCTCACTCTTGCCACTTCTATTCAACATAGTATTGAAAGTTGACCCTTAAACAACAGGGCTTGAATGGCACAGGTAAATACAATAGCATAGATCAATTGAAAAAAATCCATGTATAAGTGCACCTGTGTAGTTCAAACCCATGTTGTTCAAGGGTCAACTATATGTAGAAAACCTTAAAGACTCTACCAAAAAATTGTTAGAAATAAATTCAGTGGTGTTACAGGATATAAAATCAATATACAAAAACCCATTGTATTTCTATATACTAATAACAAATTCTCAGAAAGAAAAATTAAGAAATAACCCATTTACAATTCTACCAAAAAGAATAAAATATCTAGGAATAAACTTAACCAAGGAGGTGAAAGACCTGTATACTGAAAATTACAACACCGATGAAAGAAGGGGAAGAATACAAATAAATGAAAAGGTATTCCATATTTATGGATTAGAAGAATTAATATTGTTAAAATTTCCATACTATCCAAAGCACTATGCAGTTTCAATGCAATCTCTATCAAAAATTAAATGGTATAACAGAAATAGAACCCTAAAATTTGTAATGAAACCACAAAAGACCATGAACAGGAAAAACAATCTTAAGAACAAAACTGGAGGCATCTACTCTCTGATTTCAAACTTTATTATAAAGCTATAGTAATCAAAATAAAGTTGGGAAAACTGGACAGACACATGCAAAGAAATGAATCTGGATCACTGTCTTACACCACATAAAAATTAACTCAAACTGGATTAAAAACTTGAATGAAAGACCTGAAACTCCTAGAAGAAAACATAAGTGGTAAGCTCCTTGATGTCTATCTTGGTGACCATTTTTTGGATTTGACACCAAAAACAAAGGTAACAAAAGCAAAAATAAATAAGTGGGACTACATCAAAGGAAACCATCAACAAAATGAAAAGGCAATGTACTGAATGGGAAAATCATGTCTGATAAGGGGTTAATATCAAAAATACAAATAACTCATACAACTCAATAGCAAAAAAAGAAAAAAGTCAATCTGAAAAATGAATGGGCAGAGGATTTGAATAGACATTTTTCCAAAGAAGACATATACATAGATGGCCAACAGGTACATGAAAAGGTGCTCAACATCACTAATGATCAGAGAATTGCAAATCAGTATTAAACAGTTTCTAGAATTCTCAAAAAATTTAAAAATAGAACTACCATATGATATAGCAATCCCACTTCTGGGTATATAGACAAAGGAAATAAAATCAGGATCTTGAAGAGGTACCTGCACTCCCATGTTCATTGCACTATTATTCACAATAGCCAAAATTGGGAAACAACCTAAGCGTCTATTGATGGATGAACGGGTAAAGAAAATGTAGTATATATACACAATGGAATACTATGTAACCATTAAAAAGGAAATATTGCCATTTGTGACAACATAGATGGACCTTGAGGGCATTATGCTAAGTAAAATAAGTCAGACAGAGAAAGACAAACACCATGTGATCTTACTTATACGTTGAATCTAAAAAAAACAAATAAATAAACAAAAAACTCGAAACCCAAAAAACCAAATTCACGGATCTGGTAGTTTACAGAGGGGTTTGAGGAGTAGGTGAAATAGGTGAAGGAGGTCAAATGATACAAACTTCTAGTTATAAAACAAATAAGTCCTGGAGATGTAATGTTCAGTGTGGTAACTACAATTAATAATACTGCATTGTATATTTGCAAGTTGGCCAGAGATGGAATCTTGTAAGTTCTCATCAAGAAAAAAGTTTGTAGCTATGTGTGGAGATGGCTGTTAACTATCATGGTGATCATTTCACAGTATATACAAATATCGAGTCATTATGGTGTACACCTGAAACTAATATAATATTGCATGTCAGTTTTATCTAAAAAATAAAAAATGTTAACCTGCCTAATTACAGCAAAAAGATTATGCAGTACCTATATACCAGTGGAAAATTTTTTTTGATTATTGTCTCCTTAATAATTATACTTGATTACCCTTTTCATACATTTCCATGAAATATTAGAGAGAGACTTGTCCAAGGCCCCAGATAAGGCAAAAGAAAATTTACTAGATATATCCACAGGGCTTTAATTTGTCCTGAAATAATAAATGGAGTCAAAACATCCCTCCCTCACCCCTGCTATACGTACAAAGACCTTCATCAGTAGTCACCCAATTTTGCTTATGAAATCTTTTCTATATGTTGTCAAAAAAACCTGTTTTCGTTCCTAGCCATGGAATGGGCTAAATAGCAGTTCCAGAGTTCATTTGACTACTCAAGTCAGTTAAAGAATCTTAACTTCAGATAAGAGATTTGAAACAGAACAGGTAATACCTGATAGTATATTTAATAGGAAATAAAGGGAGGATGAAACCCTGGTCTTTGGCTTTGTGCTTGAAATTTGTTTAATTGGAATGAAATTTTGGCAAACTCTAAAAGAGGAAAGTTCATATGTGGGTTTGGAATACAGGGAAGTTTTTCAGGTATCCCAGAGGGGAATAAGAAGACTTTGACAGGCAGAGATGAGGATGAAAAGCATTCCTCACTGAAGAAAGAATATGATTGAATTAATTACTAGATGTGGCTGGCAAGAAACAAGTTCAATTTCAGTGAATTACAAGGCATATAGCTAAGACTAAAAAGCTAGGTTGGAGTCATAATGTAACTGTTTAATCTTCATTTTGGAGTCAAAGTTGGAAACTATTGAAGGTTTCATACAGATGAGTAATAAGATGAGAGCAATACACGAAGAGGAACAATGTGAGAATGTTAAAAGTGGAATGGATTAGAGTGAAGAAGGTTTCAAATTAGTTGGAATAGCTATAACGTTTAAGAGCTCAGATTGAAGGCAATAAGGCCTGGTTTACAGGGAAGGAGTAAAAAAGGAGACATCTTGGAAGTAAAACCCAAAGAATTTAGCAACTCCTTGGCTGTAGGGGACTGAGAGTCATCAAAAATAATAAAAACTTACAGGAGATAAGGTTTGGAGATATAAATTTGAGACTATAACTGAAACATAGTGGATGTTCAATTGGGGAGATATAGCAGAAGACCCTGGTTATCACCCTATCAAGACTTTAGGAGGGAGGCAGCAATTTTAGGCCATTGGTTCCTCTGACAGGGCAAATTACAAGGATAGGAGAATGGCTAGAAGCTAGGTAAAATTAAGGTGTTGGTTCTTAACTGTGTGTGACTCTCTTTTGTCCAGGGAAGACATATGGCAATGTCAATAGCCCTTTTTGGTTGTCATATGCGGGTAGGGGAAAGGGTGTTACTGGCATCTCATGGGTTGAAGTTTAGGTCCCTGTTAAGTGTCCTACAAGGCACAGGCCTACCCCCAACAAAGACTTATCCAGCCCCAAATGCCAATAATGCCAATAAGAAAGCCTGGTTTAAGATGTAAACATGTAGTGGAAAAATAAGACAAAAAGAATTAGTTATAGAGATAACAGGCAAGCTCCACAGTAAATGTTGAATGAAAGAAAACTGAGAACAGAGATAGATGAGTTGGTCTTGGCAAAAAGGTATACCTTTTCTTGAGGCAGAAATAAATAAGAGAAGAACAGCAAAGCTAGGACTTCTGAGTAAAAAGATAAGAGGTTGAGAGTTGAAATGTTTTGTTTTAATCCTAGCTCTTATTTGGGCAACATGCTTGAACCATCTGGGTGAGCTTATTTATAAAGATTAATTCTCAAAGATCTCTTCTAGCACCAAAATTCTGGAGCCTCTCTTTTCAAAAAGTGAATGCACTGCCGATAGTGAGGAAGCAAGGGCAGGAAATAATATCAAGAATGGAAACAGTTTGTTATGAAGAGAACAAGCCACACAATCCCATTCTTCCTTTGGCTTTCATTTCAACATTTTAGTTTTTATTACGTGATAGGCATTGAGAATAAATAGAGTAGATTTATGTCACTTTTACCTATAGTACAAACTTCACTGGTATATACTTGCTATATACTTGATATTTTGCTGCCAATTTTTGCTATAATCTCTTTGTCCTTTTAGAAAATTTTATTGTTTTCAAACTTTGTTTTGGGTCAGACAAAATTACAGTTTTGGTAAATTAGAAACAAAGATTATAGCACATATTTAATATTAATTTTAAATTAATATTTTATTTAGACTGCAGTACTTCTTGCTATCTTAATGAGGATGGATGACACTTCTGTTAAAACAAAAAAAGAATACATTAATGTTGGCTATCAGAAGAGGAACTTTTTAAATGGTTCTTACCAATAACAAAAAACTCAAACCATTAATCTTTGATGATAACGATTATTAGCAGAGGATTATATAAGAAAATAAAAGATACTAAGAAACACAAAGGCCAAAGTGTATGTATGTTCCTCATGGTGAAATGTTAGACATTCCTAAGTGTGCCCAAACAATAAGATTTGTTCTCTGAAGTACCTGCAAAGATAAAAGAAAGGAAGGGAAGAAGGGCAGAAGACAGGGAGGGAGGGAAGGAAAAAGAGGGGATATGTAAAGATCTTCATAGTCAGTTTCTGAGAATTATACTCAAATGTCTTGAATAATACCTGATGTATCTAAATATTCCAAACATCTATCCTTGTTGAAAGAATGATCAGTGTGTGGTTTGAGATTAAGTGCACAAAAGATTCCATTGGGAAATCCCCCACAACAGAGTCTAAAAGGTAGTTTTATAACATGCTTTAAAATCAGGATAGCTGGCAAATACCAGCATTATAGAATTTACAATTAAATACAATCATGGAAACTGATGGTAGAAGGAAGGAAAAGGGTGTTGCTTTAAAAAAAAAAAAAAAGGCAAAAATTAGGTTTAGAGATCCAAAATTTCATTCAAGTTAGGGCTTAAAATACCTATTGTGCCACTTCCACATTTGACTTTAAATCCCTTCAAGATTCGTGAGAAAAAATAACATTACTCTTACCTTCTGCACAAGAACTTGACTTTCAGGTTCTAACACCACTGTATCATCACCAGACTGATGCATCACAGTTAGGCCATTCAAGCGTTGTTCAGAATCACCTAAATGCACACATTTTTATAATAGTATAATCAAGATATTTCACCTTGCTTGTTCAGAATTTGACTTTTTCCTCCCTCTAGGTCAGAAACTATGAAAACAAAATTACAAATTTTTTGATGCTTCTTAATTGAAATTTACCTCTTAATTTACCTCCTCTATTTTTCTTTTCTTTATTTGTTCTCCTTTATTTTTTTGGTGGTGGTGGTGGGGTGTCAGCAAAATATAGGTGACATTCTGGCTCACCTACCAAAATCTACTTTATCTGTCCCCATGGTACAGCAGTCCTCCAGTGTATACACTGACCTCAGCTCCAAAGATTAGTCTTTGTTAGAGCAAGCCAGTCATGGTAATCCTACCTTCATACCAGTGAGTCATTTGGGAAAGAGAAGGCTTAAGCCAACGTAGGA